AATCTGCGGTGGCGTACTCTTTGCCGTAGACTATTCAATACCATCTGAAGAAGTCAGTCTTCCACACATTGAATCTGCAGAATTCAAATGCATTCGTATACAGGTTGGAAGGGGGTTTACTTACTTAGCTCTATGCTATATTGCTCCCCGATATTACTCATCAGTGTATTCACAACATGTCTCTTTACTGAAATCAAATAATTCAATGATTAAACCCTCTGATTCAATGATTGTGTTGGGTGACTTTAATTTACCAAATGTATCATGGAAAATCATTGGTCGCGTTCATAAGACGTAGCTGTTTAGCTCATCTGCTACGAAACTGCTGGCAACTGTTGAGCCCAACAATTACGTCTTAGAAACGGCTTGATGAATATGCTGCCAAATGAACAGCTGATAAATGTAAACAAATGAAATTGCAACAAATAATGATAGTTGCGCCGATACTATTTAGAATTCAACGCTGAGCGGCCGCCGTGTTGAAAAAATCGTTCAATTTTACAATGAATTAAACAGTTTAAAATTATATAGCAAACATCTTAAAAACATATATTTAGAAACATAGTATTATTATAAAATATTTTAGTTACTTTATCACATCAGTAATATAAAATAGAATACATTTATTTGCAACTGCCACCTAACAAAGCGGCGTTAAATTTAATATAAGCGACGTAAGTCTTTTCGATCAGCTGTTTAGGCTAAGCCCAACACGTTGAGTTCAGGTAGCGTAAAAATTTTCCGCTGAAAAAAATGGCGGAAAGTTGCCAACTGTTGGGCTGAGCGTAACTACTCAACTGTGCGTTTCTAAGACAAACAGCCAACGGTTATCGTACCTTTCTCTTCTACTGCGTGCAACAACGTATTTTTAGAAGAGATGGCTGAACTCTGCCTAAATCAAGTAAATGTACTTCGCAATAAGTTTGGCAAAGTATTAGATCTTGTTTATGTTGATGATGCATCTAAGACCGCTGTAAATAAATGTAACCCACTAGTTTTGGCCGAAGATGTCTACCACCCTGCTATTGAGATATCTTACGAAATTATAAACGATGGTCAAAATCGCGGTATCCAAACATACGAACCAAATATTCGCTTTCGAAAGCCAATTTTAAAAAACTGATTAAAGAATTGTCTAAATTGTCGTGGCCTATATACAAAGAAATGGTTGAGCAATGCGTTGCACATTCTAATTTTACTGTACATCAATTATTTAAAAAGTATGTGCCTAAACGCATGTGTGTTCCTGAAAAACAAACACAGTTATGGTTCACTAAAGAACTGAAAAATTAGAAAAACAGAAAGTGACGTTATTTTAGTTTACACAAAAAAAAAACGGTTTACACTCATACTATGTAAAATACTCACTATTGCGTCACAAGTTCTTTGAATTAAACAAAAAGTGTTATAAAGCTTACTTGTGTAAAATCAATCGACGTATAATATATAATCCCAAATCGTTTTATGATTTCGTAAACTCCAAGCGAAATGTACGTGGGTTTCCTTCCGCCATGAAGTATTAAAATAGCGTACTTAGTGATCAAACAATCTCCCACACTCCCAAGAATACTTTCACTATCCTTTTAAACTAAGTCCAATTAGTCTTTTAGTTATGGTCCTGACCAGATCCCACTTGTTTTCTTATAAATTGTGCTGATTATATCTATGAGCCGTTAACAGCCTTATTTAATTTGTCTCTTAAAGAAGGCATCTTTCTAACCGTATGGAAGGAATCGTTCATAACCCCGCTACATAAAAGCGGTAGCAGGTCCTCGGTGGAGAATTCAGCGTACATGCATAATTGGTTAGGTTTATAGGTATGTATGCAGATATTTAAATGCCGGTTTGCTACTCGCGCGACAAGCTTTGTTAAAAACGAAGTAAATTAGTACAAATTGTTAGTAATTTTCATTACAGTTTGAATAACTCCTTTCACTAAATGGCTTTTAGTAACTTTAACGAGCCCTTAACTTATTTTATTTTATTCATTTTAGTGCAGTTTTGACAAAATTTTCTTGCTAAAAAATCTTTTGTTAGACTACTTTATTGTATTCCTTTGATTGTACATGTTAAATAAAAGCTTGTTTTTAAAAAATATTTTTTTTACATTATTTTATTATAAGCTATATTTCTACAGATATAAAATTTTCAAAAATTTTAATGTACGCAGATGATGTGAAACTTTATAAATCATACGTATCAATCAAAGAAAAGCATTTGCTACAAGCAGACTTAAACAGCATGGCTAACTGGTGCTATGTAAATCGTATGCCTCTAAATCTGGAAAAATGTCAAATAATGTGCTTTTCGCGAAGCGCTGTTCAGCCACTTATACTATAGATAACCATAATTTGGAACAGGTATACAATTTTGTGGACCTAGGTATCACAATGAATCCGAAACTTAATTTTAATCTTCACATTAATGTGACAGTCAACAAAGCTAAAGGTGTACTTGCATTTGTGAAACGATGGTCAAGCGAATTTAGTGACCCTTATGTGACTAAAACCCTATTTACAACATTAGTTAGACCGATTCTGGAATATGATTCGGTTGTTTGGAATCCAAGGTATCAAATTTACTCAGACAAGATATAATCAATTCAAAAACAATTCCTACTTTTTGCTTTAAGAAATTTCCGTTGGGATTCTCAGTATAACCTTCCGCCTTATACGAGCCGATTAAAACTTTTTAATCTTCCTACATTTGTCAGTCGCAGGGAAATGCTTGGTACAATTTTTATGGTTAAATTACTGACAGGCTCAGTTTCAAGTCCGCTTCTTCTGGGTGAAGTTAGCCTTAATGTTCCCTCCCGCGTATCAAGACACTTTCATCCCCTATTTTTGAAAACTTGTAAAACTAATTTGGAATTACCGAGCCACTCCGTTGCTTATGCCAGGATTTTAACTCTCATTACAGCATTTTTCAGCATTAAGAAAGCGATACTATCACCTCTCAATAAATGAATCATTAACATAAAGACATAAAATCAGCTGATAAATTTAATTCTGCAGCTGAACAGTTTTAGATCTCAACACTTAACAAACTCCTGCCTATCGTGACTCGGTGCAAAATATTGAAAACATTGGTTCCGTACGTCATGCGCACTGCGCCCCTCGTGCGGATGGGCGGGAATGGAGAGTAAAAACCGTTTGGATTAATTATTATTATTAAGGGCTATGAGTCTCAGACAATAAAAGGCATAAAATTTCCAGGCTGGCTGGCAACAGCAATTCAAGAAATTACGCGATGTAGTAGCTAATATGGCTCAGACGATAACTCAGTTAGCAGCTGTGCAAGTAGTACAAGCGCAGCAAGCATCATACAATATAGTGCCAGCGAACTCCGACGCAACATTTAGCGGAGCGCCAGCAAACTCCGGCGCAACATGTAGCGGTGCACCAGCAAACTCCGGTGCAACATGTAGCGTAGCACCAGTAATCTTCGGTGCAACATGTAGCGGAATGCCAACCAATTTTGGCGCATCATTTAAAGAAACTTCGTACAGCACAACGTGCAACATACTGCCAGCTTCATACAACGCACATCAGACAACTTTTAGAGCAGCAGCAGAAACATGTAATATAGTTCCGTCAACATATAGCGTAGTTACAGAAACACAGCAACCATCGAATGCAGAGTGGAGAGGAGCTACAATGGGCTCATCGACTCCTGTCAACAGGCGATTGAGTCATGGGGTAGTAGGAACAATACCAACAATTTCATCAAATGTAGCAACGAGGCATACAATGGGGAAAATTATCGGTGTTTGCCAGAATTTAGTCCACTAAAGTGAAATTTAGCAGCAGAGTAGTTTATCAACAAAATTTAATAATTGCGATCAATTTACTTGTGGAGCGAGGATGAGATTTTATTCGCAACAAAACATAACTGCTGAATGGGCTTTCAGCTCTTGGCCACTATTTGTTGGGACATTGAAGGGCGAACTTCTGAGCGAAGTTGATGTGGCTGAGGTACACCGTGAGATGATAAGGCGCAAGAGAAAGCATTACGAGTCAATGAAAGATTATTACTACAACATGCTGAACATGGGTCGTAGAGCAAATATGGACCAAGCAGCAATCAATTCGTACATCATTGGTGGACTCAACGAGGCGAATTTGTCACGAACGTTATTAACCATCAATTTGAAGATATGCAACGATTTGTTGAAGGTTTAAGGTTTATCAGCAACCTCAGTCGGGGTTAAGCCAACGTTCAACGCACATCAGCAGCAACAACAGAGACAGTCGAAAGTAGGTGGGGCGCAAGTGCGAAAGGCCGTACGCTGTTTAAACTGCAACGAGATGGCACATATAGCAGCTAAGTGTCCCCAACCAGCACGAAGACCTTGATGTAGGCACAGGCATGCAACGTAAGTTAGAATACAGTGGCAAGTTTAGCTGAGCCGTATAAAATATCACCACCGTTTATGAATACAGTTAAGGTTTGGGGAAGGTGATGTCAGCGGTAGCGGTTATTCGCTGATAGAAACGAACGAGAATGTAGGCGTTCGAACTCGATCGAACATACAAAACTAGAAGGCAATCAAACCTCTGTTAACCACATGATGTCCCAAAGAAAGTAGCGTGTTGGATTGAGAAAGTCCGCTAGACTGATGGTTCGGTTAAGCAGTCATGAGTGTGTGTGTGAATGTTCGGCTTAAACAGCATCTCTTTTATTTACTTATTCATTAGTACGGGATGGTCACTTGGTAGAAAAAGATGTAAAAGGACCATACTGAAGAAAAACGGGTTCAAAAGTTAAAGTTGCGGTTGTGAAATTCGACGCAGTGTGGTCTTAGTGCGGGAATATATTCTCAGTTTTATAATCGTCAAAAAGGTGCAAAACAAATATATTCATGTAGGGATATTGTGCCGTTTAAGTGTGCGTCTATAAGGAACTGTCGCATAGACGGATAACTGAGGAGCTTCTGGGGGTCACTAGACACTAACCCTTGTGTTAATACCCACATTTTCTTACGTTGTCTAGCACACGTGGTACCCAGGTACCTAAACAGTATTTGTTTTACTATTCTTCACAAATCCATTTTTCGGACTGAAATTTTTTGTGAATATAGATTAAATTAAGAGAATTTAGTAAGAAAAATTTCAAAAATAATATGGGAGTCCCCTAACTACAATAAAATACACGCACATGTGCTATCGCAAACAAAGGCACAGGCGAAAATAAATGTATGTATGGACATTGTCTTTACATCTATGTATGTCCCTTTCCAAGCACTTGCTTTCATGGAATTGTACTCTTGTTGGTACTTTGAGAAAAAATAAGCCCTACATACAAAACATAATGGGCCCCAAAGAGGGCCTGAGAGCAGTACTCTACCGTATTTGGTGTCCATGAAAGAGTAACTATGTGCGTATACGTACCAAACAGAAATAAACCCGTTATTATGCTAACCACATTGCATTGCGATAAGGCTGTGAACGACGATGGTAAGAAGACACCCCATGTTATATCTTATTATAATAAGTATAAAGCTACCATGAACCAGATGGCTAGAAGATACACAACGAAATGGCGATTTTGCGATGGCCTTTAGCGATGTTTTTCAATATAATAGATATTAGTTCACACCCTTCGTATCTTATTCGCTAATAAAAAATAATGCGGCATATTCTGGATTTCGTACGAATCGAAAATTTGAAATTTTTGTATAGAAAATGGTAGGAAAATTTCATGATTTTCGATTCGTACGAAAACAAGAATACGAATGAAATACTACAAAAAATAATCCACCAGTGATGGCTGCTTATGCGTCAATTGAGCGAGGAGTTATCAAAACCAATATCAAAAATCGTTTGACAAACGTACAAATAATGAGAAATTATACGACAAAAATCGCCATTGAAAGCATCATAGGTCTTCAAAAAATTACTGTGGATGTTACGCCAAACCCTTCAATTGAACGAAATGCACCAGGAAGAATGGAAGTAACTGGTTGTGGTTTCATTTGCAATAATCAGGAAAAGAAAAAAGACGAAAAACGAGGAAGAACTGCTGGGAATGTGAACAAGCGTTATGTGATGAACATTCCAAAAACATCATAAAATATAATATTTGCTATAAATAAAGTGATTATTTAATCGTTTTTGTTTTCCTAATAAGTTATATAAGTTTTTACGAATCACGTGCGTATAATGGAAAAAAACTACAAAATAGACTACCGAAATAATTGGGTACCCGGTACCCGGGTGCTGGTACGGTATACTACATTTCAAGTCGATTATTTTTTTGATAAATAACACAATTTTTTTACTTTCAATTGCCCAAGTTCCTTTATTTAAGCTAAATAACGACGATCCGGAGGATGGGAAAGAAATGTCAACTAATACTCGACCTATACGGAAAAAGGTCCTGTTGTGGGTACCCCGGTACCCGGGTATTGGCACAAGGGCTAATAAGGAATTTGATGTAAATTCCCAAGCAGTAGGAGCATACTTATATATTTATATCTTGCGGCATGTATGTAAGAGCATATGCACATACATAGATCTTTAAGATGTACATATCGCACGTTTGATGATGTAATGAGGTATCTCAGGATTTAAATTTTGTGGAAAAACGCAATCAAAGTGTTATCAACTCATGCAGTTGGTATAGAAAAAAACAGATGGAAAGAAACATATCTTCGGCATATTTGGGAAGTTTGGTTATCTGTTAGACTGAACATATTCTACTTATCAAGCTTATTTATTGCAAAAAATGTTCTTACCCTGCAAAAAATGGGACTAATCCGGGATGACTCCGGGAGCAACCGCAATGGAGCATGCGACTAATACCACTTTTGATCTCTTTATATGGAATGAACTGTTCGCTTTTGTTCGAGCATGTCCTATGAAGAGACTAATTGTTCACCTTTATACCCGAACGGGTATAAAAAGCGACTAGTCACATTTAAAAAATAAAAATAAAAATTTGCGCCAGCCGAGATTCGAACCGGGGTGCTCAGTTTTGTTAGGCGAAAACTCTCTCTGCGTGCCAACGCCGCACATGAAATTTCATTGACTAAGTGCGTACATATCATCAAATCGTTAATAGTACCCGTTAGAGATGAGTTGGGGACTAATTGATCTCCATTAGTACCCGTATGAGACTAGTTGCGACTAATTAATGCCCAATTGTACCCGATTGAGAGTAATCTCGGAATACTCTCTTTAGAGATTAGTCGCGGAATTTTTTGCAGGGTAATTTCAGGTCGCCTGCTGAAATACCCAGCAAAAGGATATCCACTTTTGAGTGCCGATTGGACACATACTCGCTCGCCCTGTAGGCGGAGCATGAAACCTTAATGATCGGAAGCAACGGAGCCGCACACGTACACGCGCACCAGCCATCATCGATACAACATACGGTGGTCAATCGCAGTCGCAACCAACACACACACTCATATATTTGCCAACAAGGGTATATATAAAATCATACTCGCATCCGGACAGATAAGTATTCGCATCGACCCAGGGTTATAACCGCACCGCGTAGCTGACACCGGCCAACAGATATTAGGCAACAACAACACCGCCGTCGCGAACAGCTGTTCCAGCTAGTACAGTCAGAACAGGTCAACGGTCATTATACAGACCTGTGGACTCTGCACAGCCCCATGCAGAGGAGCATAATCGTCGATGAAAGGGTACAGCATCCACTTCAGCGCGGTCAACGGGAGCAGCACCAGCGAGAGCAGTGGAGACTAGCGCTCCGCCTACGCCGCCAATCAGAACCACCGAGCGCCGCGGAGATTTGTGCTCCAACCACACCGCGGATCAACAGTAGTGTCATCAGAGGGGCATTTCTTAACTCTTGATACTCCGATACATACATACTTATTTAGTTGTTATTATGACCTAGAGTTTATTTATATACTTACATACATATATAGGATTTGCAGTGGTTGGACCTTTTTTTATTTCTACCTTGCTCGGGCTATTGCGCGTTAGTTTTTTTATATACCATTTAGATGTTTTGCTTATTTTACTATTAGTCTTGCTAATTTTGCTAGTAATTGCATTTCTCGCGAATAATTGGACTTTTTTTATATGTATCGCTGTAATTATTATTCTGGAATTTCTCTTTATAATTCAGTGTTTTGTTTACATTAAGCTATAGATTTTTTTTTTTTTTTGCAGTTAAATATCACTAGGCTCCTATATTGAATCCCATAGCCTTTTGATTTTGTGCTCTTTTAAATTTTGTTTATCTTTTTTGCTTTATTTTCCTCACTTAAGTTTTTATTTGCCAATTGGTTCTTTTTACGTCCGTATATTAGATTAAGTTCACAACTGAGTCCACTTTTATTGCCATTTAGATTTTTTTTTGGAAGGCCTTGTTTTAAATAGTAGATTCGCATTTTGTGTTTCCTTTTCGCGCGTGCTTTACGACCCGCTCACTGTACCGTAACACGAGCGAGTGATAACATTATCGGCAGGGAAGTAGGTTGACACCACAGTTCATTAGCTGTAGGCGTGCATATGTATGTATGTAAGACTATTGGTACATATATGTAAATATAAAAATTCTCCCAAAACAGGTTCTTAACAGGGTGTTGGTACCACTATCGCTGGAGACCAAAAGTGAGTACAGAAATTTGTTTATTTGCTATGCACATATATATGCACTTATGTGTAATTATTTACGTACATACCAATCATACTTATCCTCGCCTGGGTAAAAGATTGTCGTATGTTAACTTCGGCAGGTTGTGGGAAATCGCGATTGAAGTTTGGAATGCAATTTCTCAAAAACGCGAAGATTGATTTTCTCCAAAGTCTCTGAAAATGTTACTAGTTCACAAAATTCGTAAATTATGTAAAATTTAATGTTTATTGCTAATTAGTTTTGAGTGTATGAAGGATTTTCTTTAGTCAAATTTTGTCGTCAGCGTAATTTGTCCACAATTTAGCAGCCACTTTGTATGAAATACGACAAAATGTGATCAAAATTTCTACCAAATTAACGCCACTTTTTACTCAATATCTCGGAAACTAAAGGAGATATCCAAGAATAATATGACTGCATCACCAACTAAATTATCGAAAAAGTTGTAGTAAATATCTCGGAAACTAAAGGAGATACCTAAAAAGTGATAGTACCAATCGAAAAAGCTTATTTCAAAATATATAACTACATCTAGAACTAAAAATCGTCAAAATGGCGCTTACGACAATCTTTTACCCAGGCGACGTTATATACTTGCATATTTAGTTGGAGATTTCATCAATCCCGCGGTAATATTTTTGTCTTTTGATTTACGTTTGTGGTATCGGAATTATTCGTTGAGTTTTTTTTTTTGTTTTGGAGAATATAATAACCTATGAGCTACAATAACAATTATTGAACTGATCCTAGGGCAGACCCAAACAAATACAAAGAAGTCGTTAGTAAGTTTAGCGGGAGTAGTTTGCATTGATAAATAGATATAATTTTGGGATTTGTATCTTTTAGTATATTAGGGTGGTAGGTTTTTCTTTTTTTTTATAAATTTCCGTATTCATATGTACATACTACATGAATTTCGATACATATTAGGGCTAGAGTTTAGAGCAGTTTAATATTGTGCCTTAGGCTAAGAAAATAAAAATGAATTGAGAAAATAGATTTTTTCTGATTTTCTTTTGGGATTAAGATGGTGTGTTAGGCACAAGTATTTGGTGTGGGTGTTGCACTTGTGCAATGGCGGGGAAGTGGGGTGGGCATATAAGACAATGGACTAGACGACGACTGATTCTTAGACAGACAGGTTAATGTCAGGTTTAGGTGGCGTCGTAAAGTAGATGAGGAGTCACGACGACGCCCAAGGCTACACGTGGAGTCCGCGTTGAAGAAGGGCGGGATGATTCCACCTGACAGGACGGGACTGTTCCTTTTTCGTCATTTCTATTTTCCCTTGTTTGTTTTTAAGTTCTTTATCTTTCCTGTTGTTGTTAACTTTTGTTGTAATGCGCCCAACGCAATAGCCCACTAATTTTCACTTTTCACATGGCTTTTTACTAACATTTTTGTTTTCTTTTATTATTTTACCCTAATTAACTCTATCTTTTTATTTAATTATATATTTTCGATCGGACGTGTTAGGGTCAAGAGGGTATCATTACTTGGAATCATCGCGAGTACTTTGTGCCCAATTGACGAGTGTAAGGGGGGAAGCCCGGCTCATCTTCAGGGTACCTTCTAAGGATCTCAGCGTCTCTGGAAGTGGGAACTGAAGATTGGACGATGGCCACTTTAAAATTATTTGTGTGAATTTTCAATCAAGCTGCGTGTGTGTGGTCCAGCTCCACACATCCGTGAGGTTTATTGGACTTTCTCACAGGGGGAAGATAACTTGGTGCCGAGGGGAAGTGTGGCAGCCGCGCTCTGAGCCAGAACTTAGACCGTCGAAGTGCCACACTTGGTATTAGAATAGGGGGATTAGTTGACGTTGACATTTGGACAGTGGACGTACGGACCAACACTCCCATATGAACAGATTATGTGAACATACATACCTTTTACAGTGTAAAAAAAAACCTGCAAATAAACAGCAAATTAATTTAAACAAATAGAAAAAACGTGAAATTTTTATTTAGAAGTCTTTGATTCGTGGCATTCTTATTTAAAGCTGCATATATATAACTTCCTATTTTATCACTTTTTATTCTATGTATTTTTACTCCTATTATTAATTTTTAATTTTTGCGTTTGAATTATATACAAGTACATACACATATTGAATTATACTTTTATATTGAACTATACTTCTATAATTTTCAATCTTTATTAATTTTTTTTTATTATTTTCTTATCATTATTGTTATACGAACTTTCGTATTACTACTTTACAGTTTTTTTCATATTTTTGAATATTTTTTTTAAACTTTGTGGAATTGCACAGTGTTTGTACGCGTTATTTTTGAATTATTTTGTACTCTCGTGGGGAAAACAATTGATCCGTATAAGTATCGTTGCGTTTAAATTTTTGAGCTACTTCTTTGGTCAAGATTGCAGAATCATAAAACCGACCGTCGGTTTTGAACCTAAGGCAAATAGTGTGGATGGGTGAGCGAGAGAGTGAGGATATAGAGCCTGGGTTAGGACTGCTTAACTCGAGT